GTATCGAAATAGGTATTCCTAGTTGATTGTATTCTTCTGAGATGTATACAAAGGTGTGGTTATGTAAATACTATGTTGACTTTTTCTTTCGTTTGTTTTTAATCGCGTTCTGAGTCACTTGATCGTGTAGCATTCCTTTTATCTTGATTATGAGATCGGGTTCATTTGTACCTTGTTGTACTCAGAGTATGTATTTATGTTTATTTTATTATTATGTACTTATAAATTTCAAAAATACTCACCGACATTGATGCTTAATTATATATTCATTTATGTTTCACCTTCCGCAACAACTTTGTAGTTTCAGCGCTTTCAAATCACGAAGACCATGTTCTCTACTTGTAACCGCTGCGAGAAACGTGAACTGATTTTACATGGTTTTGAAGATGCGCTAATGAAACCTCACGCTTGTCGTTACAGTTGGTGCGTCACGTTTGAGTTATACCGTGAGAAGTGTTTGGAAATCAGGGAGCAGTTCGATCGCAACAAAAACCTGACGAACCCCAAGCAGGTGAGCTGTGGTACTTGTACTTGACCAGTCCCATTTTCTAAACTTAATCTGCAAGACGACAAACGGTTGCCTTGATGGGATATCTTTCGTCTGTCAACTGTGTATTTTGCTTAGCGAATGCTCCGACTTTGCCCTCAAATCTGTGTTTTCGGATGTTTTATGAAAGCAATCGATATTCAATCCGTGTTTTGTGCTGTTGTGCGCATGCATCGATATTTTGCCCGGGGTTGAGCCACCACATGATGATTTGGTGCCCACTCCTTGGGTTTGGGGTTGAGCCACCACATGATTTGGGTTTTATTGGCTGATTTGGGTTGTATTCGTTTGGATGCAAGAACACATTAATGTCGTCTGGCTGTGAATACCACCTCATTGTGTACGTGTCAGTGAGATTGCCCAAAGTGTATGCCATCCATATAAGCACTCGTTCAGTGATATGGGACTCAATTTTTTTAATATCTTTTAATATCTTCCTTCGCCTTGCAGATCCAGCGACTCATTGAGAGCACTGAAGCTGAGCTGCATCGACTGAAGCATCCACAGCCATATATCTGTAAGTGGCCATTGAGTGCTCACTAGTGGCAGATTATGTCATCTTGTAGTTGATGATGCAGTTTAAACTTTGTCTTTAATGTACCGGACATTAAGCTGCTTCCAATCATATATGGTCCTTATAGACTTCATTCATTGACCATGTCCTGTGCCTGTTCTGTTCTGCAGTTTAAGTTCATCTCTTTTCCGTACATATATATATATATATATATATATAATACACACACACACACACACACACACACACACACACACACACACACACACACACAC